TAAATAGCCCACACACAAAGCCTGAAATGCATTAGATGATGAAAAATATTATTAGAAACCTGGCTTAGATCTTTCTGCACTTCCGTCTTTTTCGCGGCAATTTGCTTGAGCTGCTCAGCCAACTCCTTTTGCAGCTGTTCAGAAAGTCGCTTCTCGTCTTCTGCCTAAATTCTGCCATGAGACTCGCAAATAACATGCTAATAGCTCATACCTTCTGCTGATCTGCCAACATCTCTTTCAGCTTCAGATTAGCAGCAGTTTTCTTCTCTTCCAACTCTTTGCTCTTCAGTGTAAGACTCTTCTGCAGTTCCTTTACTTGCTCCTCAGTCTCACGGATCTTATTCAATCCAATGTTGAGATGGACCTGATTACAAAATCAGACAATTAATACATCAAAACTAAACATGAAATGCGGAATGCTACCTTCTCCTCTTCAAGATCACGGCGTTTCTCATGGAACAAGCCCATGAAGTGCTTGATTAGATCAAGGAAATGTCTTGGCGTCACAAGCATCACTCTATGGCCGCGCTTCTGCTCCTAAACGAATAAGTTGCAGGCTTGTTGTTCGAAGTATGGAATCTAAAGCTTACTTGTTCATTGAGCTTCTGCACCGATTTATGCACATGCACAAGTGTATTTATGACAGCGTGACGATAGGTTGGTGGAGTTGGGATGAGGTCACAGACGACTGGTAGTGAGAATGGTGGCTCATAGTCGGTGCGATCCATATCAAGCGTGTTTGTAAGCTCAGATCCGACCTTAAAATTGAGTTGAGATCTGCATCTAACTAAAAGGTGAACAACGTATGTAACTAAACTACTAAGGTATTATCTTTCATATAAAAAAAAACGGAGAAGACAAAGTAGTGCTCAAGACAGTAAAAAGAATAATTGCAACAAAGTTCAACAGCGCTTTTGCGGGAAAAAAGCAAGCAAAAACTAACAAATTACTAAATGTATTTTAACCTGATACAATGAAGTATCCGCCCAGTCGCCAAACCAATTCAGCACACAACGGTTGAACAAAGCAGGAGAGGTTGAAGCGCGTTCTCTCAAGCCGCTTCCAGACGGGTTCATTGTGAACACGACATGGAGATTCCTCATAACCTAGAAAATTGCAAGGTTAGCAATTCCATTCACAATAGATTATTTTTGAAAGAATTTAGAACGAAATTTGTGCAATAGCAAGAACGAGATAAAAGAAGAATTTCATGACTATCGATTGAGGTACCTGCAGAGTGAACCACTTATACAGTTCATCGTGGCTATCTAGCATCAGTCCTTGCCTTTGAGCACCTTCTTTAATCTGAGTCATCAATGTAGTATGCTCATCACCTTCGAATAAACCTGGGACCTAAATAAGAAGAAGATAGCCACTCTTCCTTCTCTCCCTTCCCTCTTTCGCATTCGATCCTTACCTCTCCATTAGCCAGCAAAGTATTCAGCCTTTCTAAGAATCCGGTATCCAGCATATTAGACTCATCCATGATGAAGCACATTTTTTCGTTACGACAGCCAGCTCTTCTCAATACTGTACGCATATCCTCATCGAAATCAGCGGCGGTGTACTTGGAGTGGACTTTCAGCTGAATATGAGATCTCAAATGCCTAAAGGGGCAGAAGGGAAAAAACCCTGAATTTTACCTGGAACACACTCAATCCATTCAGCCATGCAACAAATCTGGATAAAGTGGTCTTTCCCGCACCAGCGGTACCGATAAGAAGAAGATGGCCCTGTGGTTGACGGTAAATTCGGTCTATACGCAGTACATGATCCAGCATCTGATCGAATAGTACCAACTGGACATCAAGTTCTTCCTCGTAGAAACCCTAAAAACATATAATTTCGCCAAGATAATCTTTAAAAAATAAACTGTGGGGTAATGCATTAAAGTAAGCCTTTGATTATGCTAAAGGCAATAAAGAGCTTAAGCGACATCTCATGCTTGTACGGCATTTTGGTGTTGCAACTCTATGAGCCCCGGCTGAAAGGAAATACTTTTTGCGTAATTCATTCACGTCTTTCAGTTCTTTACCCACGCGCTTTACGTTCTTGGAGGTGTGCTTCAATCGAGGCGGTTATAAGGGAGTTTGTAGATTTTGGCTTATGACTTTTTTCTTCACTTTTACAGCTTTACTCCACATTTATAT